AATAATAGTAGTATTGCCTACACACAACGTTCTGACCCCATCAATAAGGCGACATCACCCGCACTCAAGAGTCTACCCCAATTAACAATAATAGCAGTATTGCCTACACACAACGTTCTGGCCCAATCAATAATGGTTACATCACCTGCACACAAGAGTCTACCCCAATCAACAATAATAGCAGTATTGCCCATACACAACGTTCTAGCCCAATCAATAATGGTGACATGGCCTGCACACAAGAGTCTAACCCAATCAACAATAACAACATCAACTACACACAAATTTCTACCCCAACCAATAATAATTTAACTCTAAATCATTGTGACCAATCCCCACAACAACACTCACAAAATACAACAGAAAACCATCAATCACCAGCACACCAATTTATCTGCTCAAGTGTCTCATCACTCAATCTCCCACAATCTCAATTTCATTCAAATTCTTCTCAAAAACGTAAAACCTCAAATCCACAAACATATTCATCGGTTCCATCAACAATTGCATCAACTGGAAATCATTCAACCAAGAAAAGATCATTAGAATATGATAACGAAATAATTAAATGTGACAAAGTATTTTCCAAAAAACAAAAACTCGAAGATGAAGAGAGTTTAAAAAGAGATAAGCAAATAGTTGAAATGGAAAGATTAGGAATTGAAAAAGAAAGAGAAGAGAGACAAAAATTACAAAGACTCAGAGAAATAGAAAGAGTTCAAAAAGAATATAGAGAAAGGGAGGAAATAGAAAGAATTAAAATAATGGAAATAGAAAGACAAATAAAAGAAGGTCTTGAAAGAAAAAAATTGGAAATTATTCAAAGGGAAAGAGAACAAATGGAAAAAGAAGAAATATCAAGACTTCAAAGAATCCAAAAAGATAGAGAAAGAGCAGAAAAGATAAGACAAAGACAGGAAACAGAAAGAATAAGAGAACAAAGACAAAGAGAAATAGAGGAAAGACAAAGGGTAGAAAGAGAAAGAGAAGAAAGGGAAAGATTAGAAAGAATTCAAAGGGACAATGAAGAAAGAGAGAGGGACGAAAGAGAAGCATCAGAAAGAGAAAATTTGGGAAGTGAACGTTTAGAAAGCGAGGACAAATGCACAATTTGTCTTAACTTTATCGATATAAATGAAATGGCTACAATCGATTGCCTTCATAAATTTTGTTTTACATGTATCGAACAATGGTCTAGACGTATCAACACCTGCCCAAACTGTAGAGAAGAATTTTATAACATCACAGTAAGTAATTTACACATTCATTTTTATACTTAATAAATATATACTAATTAATTTCATTAATATTTTATGCAGAAAGTAACTAATGATGAAAGTTTATAAAGTGATAAGATGAAGATTAATATTATGATGATGAGCTTTAGATAATGGAAATTGATTAATATTGAAATCGGAGGTGATTAAATTAATAGTTTTGATAATTCATTCAATGTTTCTTTTAAGAAATAGGTGAAGACCAAATTATTAATTAAATCTTTTCATTCAATTATTAAATCGATGAAATTAAAAAAAGTAAACTTCGTCAATCCAAGAAACAATCCATCTTCACCAACATTAATAATAGAAATTAAGCATCACATTAATTCAACTTTACAGAAACAATTCTAGATGTTCCAAGTCAGCTTTATAGCAAAACAACTCTTAAGGTAACTATATTTATAATATTTAAACAATTATTTTTATACTTGAATTTAAAAGAAACTTATATTTAATTTTTATAATTTTACTTAAAGTTTTTCTTTTCGGGATCAATACGTTTCATTCACAATTCAAACATTGGGTTCTTGTCTATTCTTTCTTTTTAAGTGCCAACATAATTTAAGTCGCCTATCAAACTTTGGGTTCTTGTCTATTCTTTCTTGTTAAGTGCCAACATAATTTAAGTCGCATTTCAAATATTGAGTTCTTGTTTATTCTTTCTTTTTAAGTGCCTACATAATTTAAGTCGCAAATCAAAAATTGGGCTCTTGTTTATTCTTTTCATATCAGTATAATCGCAGCTAAGTCACAAATTAAATATTGGGTTCTTGTCTATTCTTTCTTTTTAAGTGCCAACATAATTTAAGTCGCAAATCTAACATTGGGTTCATGTTTATTCTTTCTATATCAGTATCATCGCAGCTAAGTCACAAATTAAATATTGGGGTTATTGTTATTCTTTCTTTTAAGTGCCATCGCAGCTAAGTCACACATCAAATATTGGGGTTTTTATTCTTTATTTTTCAGTGTCAACACATTTTAAGACACAAATCAAACATTGGGGTATTAGTTTATTCTTTGTAATAAGGTTTTTAAATAGGACCTATTTCAACTCAAATTCAACCGCCTACAAGCTATCAATACATTTCATAAAATATAAAATCAAACAATTTGTATAAATAAAAATACATAAAACAAATATAGATATAACTATACAATTTACTTTTTATTAAAAATTAAAATTCGGTGTCTTTTTTTTAAATAAATAACTTTAAAGTCTTTGAGTTGAGAAGTTTCTTTTTATTTTTTTTTTATAATTTAATTTTTATTTATTTTAATTTTAATTTTTATTTTTTTTGAATAAATAAAATTGTATGTTTCATAAAACATTTGATCTATAATAACCATCACTTTAAATCATCCTATATGTTTAATAATATGATGTGTGATATAATACCAAAAAAAATTATAAAATAATAAATAATTATATTAATTAATACTACATTTCTGTGAATATATAATAATATCACTGAAAAAAAATGACTAATTTTTGTGATGATAATTTATTTATAAATTTTTTTCTTTGATAATCATTAAATTGTACTTTTTTTGATTGTTATTTGTCAATTTAATAAAACCCATTCTAAAACGTTAAAACCTAAAGAAAGAGCCTCCACTCGATTGGTGAAGAGGGAGAACTATTTAAATCAGAAATATCAAATACCAGTTTTAGGGTCTAATTATTGTGGTTAATGTTAGTATTTTCTAATAAAAATATATAATTAAAATATTTACCTTTTTTCTAGTTTGCTTAAAAGGAAATCTCTAACAAAGGTGTCTTTACTTTAAATAAATAAAAAATTTTACAGAAATAAATCAATTGTTGATCTTCAAATTAAATAAAATATCTTTGTTTATTTATATATTTTTAATATTTGGTAAAAGACTTAGAAAAAAATTTCACGTGCAGCCCTAGGATCCAACACATCTACCTTGGTATTTCTATCATTTTTACTTGGGAATGCCTAAATTTCAATTGTCTATAATTTTTTGCTTTAATAACATATTGTATAAATCTAATCTTGTTGAATAGTCACCCATTTCCGAATATGAATAAAGAGAATATATTACACTGAAAAATTAAAACAATGTATTTTTTTTTTAGAATAAAATCTTTCTTAATAGTTTTAATTATAATTGTTAAAGCAAAAGCCACTATGGTAAAAATAACATAGGATTTCTCTGTAAAATTTTGACATTTTTTAGATTCTTTTAGAGCCCTTTCGATATTTATTTTTTTATTTATTTTATTTTATCTTTCATGATCTGGGTCACGTTTTTGAAATATAAATAGAAATGACACAACAATAAATGGAGTTAGTGTGATGACATAAAGAATAAACAAAACCAAGGAGAATATTGCTAAAATTTTAGGGCCTCTATTTGAACTTCTTAAGAATTTTAAATTTACAAGCCATGGGACAACGAGTAAAAAACCAGTTACAAATAAAATTATAGATAATTTCACTTGTCTTCTTCTTTTCTCTTCATTTTCTAAAGTATCTTTATTTAGATTAATATTTGTGGCATTTTCAGATGAAATTTTTCCTTCTTCTAATTCAATATATGTGTTTTGTTTTATTGTACTTTCTTCTTGAAGTGTCATTTATAAATATTATATATTAATTAGTTTTTTTTTAAATAAATATATGTTTTTTTTAAAATTTAAAATATGTTCTATTTATATTTTTTTTTTTTTTAAAATAATATATTCATAAATAAAAATAACAGTTTATAATTACCTTATTATCAAAGAAATTTAAAACTTTATTTATTTCTTCATATTAATTTAAATATTTATCTTTAAATTATAGGAGAAAATATAACCCCCAAAATTTTTTATTATATTTTAATTATTAAAATTTTTTTTTTTTTTTAATTTTCAAAGGGTTAATTATAAAACAAAGAAAAAATGTAATAATAAAAAACTAAATTTGTATAACTTAGGAGAAGCAGTTTAAAATATACTGGTAATAACTTTATTTGCAGTACTATATACTGGTTTTTTTTTTTAAAGATATATTTACATTATTTTAATAATTAATATGGAGTTTAAAATATTTTCGAATCAAGTCGGGATTTACAAATCGAAGTTATTTTAGGGAACCCCCTAATTTAAATAATTTTCTAAAATAAAATAAAAAAAAATAAAAATAAATTTGAATAGGGGTTATCAATATTATAATTTAAATAATTTTATAAAAAAATTTCTTTTGTTTTAACACCCCCTCGCTCTCTATCAAATATTTTAACCACTCTCCCCCTAAATTTTTTTTTTCTTTTTTTTTTTTTTTTGCAATAGTTTCATTGTTTTCTAAAATATTATTTTCTTTTTCAAAAAATAAAAATAATAATAATAATAATAATAAAAATAATAATAGAAATAAAAAATAACCAATAATAGAAATAAAAAATAACAATATTATAAAAAATTATAAAAATTAATTACTAAAATAAATTATATTCAATTAAAAAAAAGAGAAAAAAAACAAAGAATACAATATAGTTCATTATAAAATGACAAATTCCACAGTAGATGGAGAGTCAGATATATTGGATTCAATTCACCGAGTTGAGCAAGTTAGAAATAGAAACCATTCATTCGAATTACCTTTAGTAAAGAAAAAGGTATCTTTTACAACACCACAAAGACCATCTTGGTTACCTCATAAACCACTATGGCTACAAAGAGTTGGAAGTAGTTCAGCACTTATTATTATTTTAGCAGCAAGTGGTGGTTTAATTTTTGGATATAATACAGGTATTATTGGTCCAGCTTTGGGTCATATTAAAGATGAGCGTCGTTTAAATACTGTTCAACAGGGTCTCATTGTTAGTGGAACTCTTTTAGGTGCATTAATTAGTTCTTTTTTCGGTGGTTTTTTGGCCGATTGGATAGGAAGAAAACCTGTTATTTTTATAACTGGTAAATATATTTTAATAAAAAATATATTTACTTTATATTATTAAAAACTAATACTTTATTTAATTATATTATAGCAATTGTAACTATTGGAGGTGCAATTTCATCTGCAGCTACTAATCCTTTGGGTTTAATAGCTCCATTAAGAATTATTTTAGGTTTTGGTGTGGGTATTTCTTCAGCAGTTTGCCCTTTAATGGTGGCAGAGGTAGTACCTGTAGAAAAAAGAGGTGCCTATGGTTCAATTTTTCAATTATTTATTACAATTGGACTACTATGGGCAAATGTAATGGGTGTTCTTTTAATGAGATCTGCAAATAATTGGAGATGGATGTTTGCTATTGGTAGTGTACCGGGTTTTTTTGTTCTTATTATATGGTGTGTTATTAACGAATCACCAGTATGGATAGAAAATAAAAGACTTGAAAGAGAAAGAAGAATTCAAGGTGAACTTATTAACGAAGAACCATCAAAAAAAAAGAGTTGGAGAGTTTTAATGGAACCAAAGAATCGTAAACCAATGTTCCTTGGTGTTGTACTTTGCGTTTTTCAACAACTTACTGGAATTAACGCATTTATGTATTTTTCCAATATTATTTTCGAATATGCAGGTTTCACTCAAGAGTATGGTGCTATAACATGCTCTTGTATTTTACAAGTTTGGAATGTATCAACAACAGTGGTTGCTGCTTTGGTTGTAGATAAGATTGGAAGAAGACCTTTGCTTTTTGTAGGTTCAATCGTTATGACAGCAATGGATTTGTTAATTGCTCTTTTCTTTGTAACTTTGGAAGGTAAGGTAAAAGGTTGGCTTCAAATTGTTTGTTTGTTTGCATTCGTCGGTGCATTTGCTATGTCTATTGGTACATTATTTTGGTTTATTATTAATGAAATCTTTGACCCAGATGTTAAAGATATCGGTTCACCAGTTTTAGTTGCTTTACAATGGTTGTTCAACATGTTATTAAGTTTTACTTTTGTTAGGTAAGTTTAAAAAAATAATAGTGATAATATAGTATCTAGTACTAAAAATAATTTTATTAGTGCTGTAACATATATAGGGCAGAGTACTATGTTTTGGATTTTTGGTGGTGTGGGGGTGATGTGTGTTGTACTTTTAGCAATATTTTTACCACCAGAAAAAATAGAAAAAGAAGGAATTGTCCCATTCAAAGATATTACAAATGAATTCTCACAAGAGCTAACACCCTCAATTTTCAGTAAAGAACGTTTTTACAACCCAAAGGAAGAGGCAATAGCTGATAACGAAATACTAGCTGAAATACCAGAAGAATCATTAGATGAAAACGGAAATTTAACAATTCCTGTAAATTTAGCTCGTTAAATAAATATATATAATAATAATAACCCAAACAACTTTGTAATATGATTATTATTAAAAAAAAAAAAAATAAAAAAAAAAATAAAAAACCATTATAAAAAAAAAAATAGAATCTAATTATTTAAAAAAAAAGGAGTATTTATTTTTAACTATTGTTTTAAATAATTAGTTGTGGGTTTACATTGATTCTTTAATTGAATTGAAGTTTATTGAAATCCAAATCATTTGTTAAAATTGAATAGTTTAATTTTTTAATGGAACTAAAGGTTGAAAGTTTATCTACAATTAATGTTCTTTTGGCGAGAATATTGGTAATTTGTTTATTAATCTTTGGTAAAAGAACAATATTATGCATTGTGGCTAATGGCTTGGGAATTTCCATTTCGATTGGTAAATCTGGTAAAACAATTTGATCAATTTTATTCTTTAGTTCTGGTGATTCAAAATCTGCTCTTAAAGATTGGGTGAACTCTAAAAAGGTTTCATTGATGCATTCTTTAAACATTTCATAAAACTTTTGACTTTCAAATATATTTCTGGTTTCATTGTACAACATTGCTAAATATTCATACTGAATATCATTGTCATTCTCTGGTGTTTTATGTGTTTTTAAAATTTCATTAAATTCTTCTTCGCTTGGAATTAAATAATATAATAGTGATTTATCTGATGTTGTTGATGTTAATATTTCTTTCTTTTCAAAATTTCCTCTAATATTTATTAATAATTTTAAAATCCCTTCAAAACTTGATTGCTGATCAATTTTCCAACTATATATATATAAAGAAGAAATTAATATTTATTATTTCATTGTTCATTATTATTTTCTACTCACTCTTTTAATGAAACTTTAATTTGCTCTTGAATTAGATTTATGAATTGTGAAAATTTATTATCAAAGAAATAACAGTGATCTTTTGAAGAGATAAAGTTTTCTTCAGTTTTTTGGTTTATGTATCTATTTTTTGAAACATCTTGATCTTTATAAAGTATATAGTCTAAATAGCAGTATTTTCCAATTAAATTAATTTGCAATCTATTTAAAACTATAATTAATGGTATTACATATAATACTGAAAATAATTTGGTAATAACTAAAATTTTAATATGAAATTAGTAAATTAATGTTTCTTTTTTATAAAGATATTATATATTGAAATATTACTTGAAACTTTTAGCTGATCAGTTAATTTTTGTTTTTCTTGTGGGTCTTTTTGTTGCCTAATTGAAGCAATTGATGGAGTTTCGATTTTTTCTAAAAATTTTCTTTCGTCAATAAATTTGATAAATATAGATTCGGTTTCTCTATTACATAGGTTTTGGGTTGCATTAAAATATGTTTCGACTCTTTCCTTTGCAAACTGAATCAATGATTTTTTATGTGATTGTGTTATGTTGTGATAAAGGAAAGCAACACCGCCACTAAGCGATACAAGGAACACACCTAATTTGTGACTGTTTAAAAACCCACCAACTCTTTTTACATCCTCATATGCCTTTCTGAATTTATTTGGTTTTAAATCTTCAAATCCTCTAAAATCCATTTATTTGTATATATATTTTAAATATTTATTTTAATAACAATAAACTATAATTGAAGATAAACAAATAAATGATTTTTTAAAAAAAAAAAAAATAGAAATTTAAAAAAAATTAAAAAAAAAAAATATAAATTTTAAAAAAAAAAATAAAATAAATAAAAAAAAAATTAATAAATAATAAAATAAAAATTAAATAAAATTTCATCGTTGTTGAACTTGTAAATTATTTTGATTTTGTTTTTAATAAAAGCAGCTTTTTTTTTTTATGATTTTATTAAAATTATTAAATAAATACAAAAGTAAAAAATGGTTAATAATCATCATAACCATCGTCATAACCACCATAACCATTATCATAGGTTTGGCTTAATAAACTTCCACCTTGTTGTTGTGTAATTACTTGGGTAGGTTGTTCTTGTTGAGTATCTTCTGGTTGTGGTTGTCTTAATTGTGGTTGTTGAGTAGCAGGGGCTGTTGGTTGAGTTGAAGTGCCACCAAGTACATCACCATAAAAATTTGGTTTGAAAAGACCAAGTTTTTCAACGAGTTTTGCATTTCTAGTTCTACGTTTTAGTTCTTCTTCAGCAGCTAGCTGAGCATTTTCAGCAGATTTCTTTGAAACCTGTTTTCTCTTACGTGGTGGTCTACCAGCTTTAATATCCTCATCGATTTCTCTTTGTCTTTCTGCATTCTTTTCGATCCACTCTTTATTTAGTTCAGTCCAAATTACTTCTTTTTTTTTAACGGTCTCTTTGTCATGCTCTAAATAAAGGTCCAATTCATCTTCGCTTAAATCATCTAAGGTGTCATTTGGCTCGAATACACTTGAATCAACTTCACTTGGTAATGGTGGGTATGAAACTTGTGATGCCAATGTTTTACCTTCGGGAATTGGTGTATTTAAATAAGATTGCTGACTAATATTATTTTCATTAAACTGGCTTGATTGTGATTGTGATAGTCTACCTAATGTTGCAAGTAGTTGGGTTGGTTGTGCATAAGATAGTGCTAATGTTTCTACTAATTTTTTGTTACTGTTTTCCAATTCTTCAAACTTTTCAATGTTTTCTAAAAGAGTTGATGGAATTGAATCAATAGATTTGTCACCTGATGAAATACCATCTAAATCTAATTCTGCTTGTTTTGCTATCTCTGATGATTCTTTTTCTAACTCTTCCTCTTTTTGAACTAACTTTGATTTTTGATTTTCTTTTGAACCTTTTTTCTTTCTCTTTTTATCTGTAGTTACTGATTCATCATATTCATCTATGTCACTGCCTAAAATTTCTTCAATTTCTTCAATTTCTTCTTTTTCTTCTTTTTCTTCTTCGTTTTCCTCATTTTCAATCTCTTCACTTTTAGATTTCTTTTTTTTCCTTAGCTCTCTCTTTAATCTTTTCTTTTCTTTCTTTTCTCTTTCTTTTTGTTCTTTTTGTTTTGCTTCAAGCTCTAATTGTTCTTTTAATCTATTTCTGGTAAATGATGGTGGGTCACACTCTTCCTCTATTTCCATTTCATCAAATTCGCTAAATCTTAAAGAAGCTGATGGAGTTCTTCTAAATTCTTCTAAACGTGCTAATAAAGTAGATTCACCAATTTTAACAATATGTACAATTTCTTTCATTGATCTTTTGAAACCATGAATTTTAGAGGCTATATAAAGAGCTGCACCACAAATGCCAGATGGCTTTCTACCAGTGCACATCCAATCTCTTTTCATTCTTGCTACTAATTTATTTGCAGTGGCAGTAACCTCTTTAGTTTGTGAACCAAACTCTAATGATGATGAAAATCTATAAATAAAAAGTGATGGATCCACAATTGGTAATTGAATATTAAGTAACTTTATTAATTGAAGGAATGTATGTGCTAGTGTGAAAACATTAACTTGTAAAACTTCAGAAAAGTCGATTAAGAGATGTGGGGTTTTCTCTCTACGACAAACTACATATAAACATGATGCTGCAACTAATTTGGTTTTTCTTCCTTTTGTAAAATTATTTTCCATTGCCAATTCGAATGATCTTTGTGCTGAATCAATATGATGAGTTCTAATCTTTAATGATGTTGCAATCTCATCTAATCTTCTACGTGCATTCTCTAATGACATTGCTCTTGAATCTCTACCACCTAATGAACGATAACTTGAGCCAGTTCTACGTGTAGCACTAACAAATGTACCAACAATAGATGAATTGTCACCAAAAGAAATTTCAGATACAATATTAGCTGAATCTTTAATGGTACCACAATCTGTACATACAACACTGCCATCGTTTGATGTTGCGAATGATTCACTACCACATAGCTTACAAACTTTAGATGACATCTTTATAATTATGGTGTTGCTTTTTTTATTATTTTTATTATAATTAATATTAAATTTATTATAAAAATTATTATTATGTGTTAAAAATTTTTAAAATTGAAAAAAAAAAAAAAAAAGGTAAAAAAAAAAATTAAATAGTTTTATTATTATATTTATGTATAAATATATATATATATTTTTCTTGTATTATTATGTATTAATTTTTCCGTTAAATAAAAAAAATTTTAAAAAAATTTTAAAAAAATTAAAAAAAAAAAAAAAAAAATTTAAAAACAAAAAAAAAAAAAAAAAAAAAAAAGATTTTTAAAATTTTCCCTTAATTTCATAAACAGGATATATTATATTATACATTATATATTTGCTCAAACAAATTTTATAAATAAATAAATTATTATTTCTCGACCAATAAAAAAAAAAAAATCAAGAAAACTTTTTATTTTTTTTTAAAAAAATTTTTTTTCATTTTTTTTCATTTCAAATTTAAAATTAATTTATTTTTTTATAAAAAAAATATAAAAATATAATAACATCAATACCATCGATTTATATATTGTAAATAGATATGGAAATATCACCACCAATAACCAATAGTGATGATAGGGCAAACGAGTTTGACGATTTGGTTAATTTACAACAAAAACAACCATTTAAAAGAAGGAATAGTATCAGCGACAGCGATATGGACAATGCAACAACAGTTGTGAAAGAAGATGAAATTAATAAAGAGCAGGATAAAGGCCACGAGCTAAAAAAATTAAAGACATCTGAAGATAATGAAACAAATAGCAGTGCTTTCAGTCCTGTACAAATATTTCAAAATAATATTGAATACAAGAAAAGGGTAGAAGAGTTAGAAAAAAGAGTTATAGATCTAGAAAAACAATTAAAAAATAGTAAGACTTGTTTTAAAGGTGAAATCGAACCAATATTTTCAATAAATTTAAATTGTATAGAAGAGTATGTATCTATATATTAATATTTATTATTCATAGATAATTAAAAATCCTAACAACTTTTATTATAGATCGAAAATTGAATATTTAGAAAATTTTTTATTAAATTTTTTTAAGAGTGACTTTTGCAGAAGACCATATGAATCATCACAAGAAAATGGAGAAATTGAAAGAGAATATAGACCACATATTGTTAATTATTACTATGATGGATTTGTTTTAGATAGAGCAGGTAATGATAGATTTAGTGATATGGCTTCATCGATTCCCTATAATTTTACAAAAATACCCAATTACTTTATTGATAAAGGTGATATACGATCCAATAAATGCCTAGAGGTAGAGGAGGAAAAAAAACCATCATTTTCTGGTTATTGTTTTAATTGTCTTCAACAAGGACATCCAGTTTATCAATGCCCATATACTTATAATCATAAAATGGTTCAAAAAAATAAAAAAGAATTTAACGAGCTAAAGGCTCTTCAAAAGTATGTTTTAATAATATAAATAATAGATAATAATAATATTTAAATTTTACTAATTAAATTTTATTTTAATAAATCTAGTGGCAGATATTTTGAAACACTTGAAGGAAATAATAATAATAACAATAATAATAGCAGTAGCGATGTAAATAATAATAATGAAACAACTACTTCAACTTCTATAATTAAAGAAAAAATAGAATCAACAGAGGAAGTAAATACAAGTTTAAATGAATCATTGGAAAAGGATGAATCAATACAAAAAACAGTCAATAAGAAGGCAATATTTGTTCAAAATACTAGTAGTACACCAAATAAGGATATTGAAGAAAATGAAAAATTCAAAGAGAATAATGATTATATCGAATTTCCAAAAGATTTGTTCCACCAGCCTGAAAATATAGAATCTGAAGAGTCATATTATAAAACCTACGACAAAGATTTCTTTAAGAATTTTATAAATAATAAATCAAATGAAAATGATAGTTTTAATAATAATACCAATAGTAATTATAATAATAATAACAACAATAATAATCTTATAAATAACAAACCAACCGAAAAAGATGGTTATAATAATAATTATAATAACAATATGATCTATAATCAAAACTACAACTATCACTATAGTAATTATAATAATCAATATAGATACAATGGTAGTTATAATTATAACTATAACTATAACTATAACCAACAACAGCATTTCCAACCTCCACCCCCACCTCCAGGTTATCATCAACAACAACATCAACATTTTAATGAAGAAAGATTTAGAAATAATGATAGATATAGAGATTTTTATAATGACAATTCATTAGAACCACCTGGAACACAAAGATTTAATAAAGTAGTAGCCCCACCGGCCCCACCAAAAAATACAGCATTTTCAAATAATATTATACCTCCTCCACCCCCACCAAAAAATAATGATAACAATAGTTTAAATGTAGCTCCCCCACCCCCACCAAAGAATATTTCAATTTCAAAATCTGATAATATTAACAATAATAATATAGAAGAGGTTTCAGATATGGATATCGAAGATGGAGAGTGTTAATATTTTATAAATAAAATGTATAATAAAAATTAGTTTTTTTTTTTTTTTCAAATTTAATTTTAATGATTATAAAATTTTATTTTTATTTTTTTATAATTTATTTTTTAAATCGGTGAAATCTAAGTTTGAACCATGATAAACAAAACTATTTCCAGGTTTTAAACTATTTGCAACTTCAGATGCTTTAAATCCTTTATAACCATTGAAAGCATATTCGTGTGCCAATTGGGAAACAGCTTGTTGTAATGGGAATGTTGATTGAGTTAAAACAAATTCTTCGACTGGAGCCCATTTGCATAGGGCAATTTCGTGTGGATCAATGTTGATTTCTTCGGAAATTGGTTTAAGAGCGCAAATATAATAAATATCACCACGATTAAAGGCATAGTTGTGGAGTTGTCTGAAACCTAAAATACTAACAAACTCTGTTTTGACACCAGTTTCTTCAAAAACTTCACGAACAGCAGTAGCACAAATATCTTCACCTGAATCTAATGAACCACCTGGAATCTTCCACTTATCGGGTCTTTGTTTCTCGGTGATTAACAAAATTTCTTTCTTATCGTTAATTACAACACCACCACAACCAATGAAATGTGATGTATATTGTGGTAATTTGTTTGGATCGTTGCTTTCTGGTGATGGTAACCATTTGGTTAACAATAAATAATCGAGTTGGCAATGATGGAATTCAAATCCTTTTTCTACCGCTATTGAAATTAAATTTGAGTGTGATTGGGGTATCTTTAACCAAACTCCTCTACGGTTATTATCGCTCCAAAACTTTATACTATTTTCGAGGTATTTTGAAAATTCGATTGGGTCCTTTGGATATTGCTGTGTATTTTCGACAGTGATACCATTAAAAATATCTGGTGCACCTCTTAAAATTCCTTTTCCAAGTAAATTTTCATTATCAAATTTCTCTATATCACCCTTTTGTTTTTCTGTTAGTTTTCTACTTGTAACACTCATTTCTTTTGTAACGTTTAAAAGTTTATTTTTGGTAATGGTACAAAATGATTTATTATTATTGTTGTTGTTGTTGTTGTTGTTGTTGATGTTATGATTATTATTAAAACTATACTGTTGGTTTAATCCTGTAGGAATGTAATTATTGACAGTTTGACTATTATTTAATAAACTGGTGGATTTTATAAATCTATTATATATTTTGATATTATTAATATTTCTAAATGTTAACCTAGATATCATATGATATTATAAAATGTATTAAAAAAATAAAAAATAAATTTAAATTTTAATTTAAATTTAAATTTATATTATTTATTTTTTTTTTTTTCTTAGTAGTAGAAGAAAAAACTAAAATATAAATAAATAAATAAATAAATAATTAATAAGAAATAAGAAATTAAGAAATTGGTAATAAGAAAAAATTGAAATATAAAATATAAAAAATTTAAAAAAAAAAATAAAAAAATAATAATTTAATTAAAAAAAATTTAAAAAAAAATCGTTATTTCGTTGAATTTATTTAATTGATTATTTGATAACCCAAAAAGATGCTGGTGTTCCAATTAATCTTTAATTTACAAACACATACTTTTTAGTGGGTTTAGAAAAAGAATTTGAAATCTTTAGGAATATAAAAATTAGATAAATAAAAACTAATTTATTTATTATTTTCAAAAATTAAAAATAAATTTAAAGTTGATTTTTTAATATTTAAAAATTCAATTTTAACACTAATAATAACAAATATTTATATAATTGCTTTTGTGAGATATTTTTCATTATTATTATTATTAATATTGCCTATAAGAAATCAAAAATTAAAAATAATTATTAAAAAATTTTATAAATAGTCTGTTTATATGTAAATTATAATAAATATTCAAAATTTTTATAATAATTAAGAAAATAAAAAAAATTAAAAATTATTTTTTTTTAAAATTATTTTTTTTAATTTTATTTTTTTTAAAATTTTTTTTTTTAAATTAATTATCATTTTTTTTTTTATTACATTTATCACAATCATTTTATCTTTGGTATATACCACTTACAAAAAAAAAAAAAAAGAAATAAACCACCCCAATGTAATATAGAACCTATAAAAAATAAATAGATAAATAAAAATACATTCAGCATAGATATATATTATAAAATATAAATTATATTCTCTAAATAAAAAGGGGAAGTTAAAAATGATTATGAATCAATTGTAAGTTTTTTTTTTTTAATATTATATTGATATATTTATAATTATATTAACTTTTTTTTTTATTTTTTTTTGATCACAGCAATTCAATTTGTAATGTTATAAATCAATGTAAAAAAACAATATTAAAAATAGAACAGGACTTTATTAGTGCACCCAATGGTATAATTAATGTAAATGAAAATTCAGATTCACCATTTTTAAAGGGATATCACCAATCACCAACCAAATTACCTTATAATGCATATAAAGATACATTAAATAATACACTTTCACCAATATTAACAAATCTAAATTCACCAGTTTTAAATGGCTCAAATTGCACAAATAATAATACTAGCGGAGCAACACCAACCAATGGTCTATCGGTCAAATTAAATATAAATAATAATAAAAAATCACAAATTTATATATTGGTAAATATTGCTTTGGGCAATATTAATAACTGCCATGATTGTATTATAGTTTTAGGACCATGCGTTGGTTTAATAGAGATCAGTAATTGCTCTAAAGTAACTTTAATTTCGATTACAAAAGGAATTAAAATAAAGTAAGTTTAATGTGACAACTTTTTGCTTTTGGAAGTAAATATTAATATTGTTTTTTTTCTTTTTAGGTCATCAAATAATATATCATTATTCATATGTTCAAATGAAAAACCAATAATATCTTCAGATTGTCACAACATCAAATTAGCACCCTATAACACACACTATCCAAACTTAGATACTCAAATAGCCACATCAAAACTATTGGTCGATTTGGAAAATAATCAATGGAACAATCCATCAATATTTAAATTATTTTCACCATTAAACTCACCATTATTACAATCCAACTCACCAACCACAACTACAACCACAACTACCACAACCAGTGACCTTCTTCAAATTCCTCCAAATAATTTACTCAATGTAGATGACACTAATAATATTCACGAAGAAACAACCGAGATTTACTCGATTTTAGATCCAGAGGAATTTTTCCCATTTGTTGTACCATTTTTAATTAAAGGAAAAACCAAATCAAATCCATGTGAATTACCAAATGAGTATAGTACATGTTTAGCAAATAAATCAAACTCAGTTCATGCATTACACAAAATTAATAGCTCAAACTACAAACGATCCATAAACTAAA